CCACTCTTCCTGATTAAATAAGTACTTATTGTATCAGTCAAACATATGTATTTTTCTCTGTGGTTTCCAAAATAGCACAATCTCAAGCAGCAGTCAGAGCTATATTTTTGTAGAGATATGTAATTGGACGGTCGCTTCTTTCAGAGCGGGACACAGACTCATGCATTACCTTGGGACAAGCATTGCATGGCTGTGTAACAATGTCCTAAGAGGAAAAAACAAATTCAATCACAGTTTTTTGGATGTCAGGAAGAAAGCATATGGAAATGGCAAGGATGTGATCTGATCAGAAAGAAGAAATTTTAACAGATTAAATACCAAAAAAACTTGAACGTAGACTATACCTAATGGTATTCTACATCATAAAGCGAGTCTCGAAGCTCTTTTATTTTTTCTTTTTTTTCCCCACTGGAGGAAGGAGGAGGGGGGAGAAAGAGGATGCTTCTAACTCCCAGCTGAGTTCAATTGTAAGTAGATGCGGTCACGAAGTTTCTGAGCTGTCAGGTCCACGATCTAAAGACAAACCATTTCGGTGTTTTGCATAAAATAATTTACACGTGAGGAGCCCACATCTCCAGCTGTTAGCTCCAAGTGGGAGACAACGTGTATTTAAATCGAACAGCACCATCTAGCAGGTCCTCACAACTTTACTTAGGAGGGCAGTTGCTACTTGGCAGTAAGTCAGCAGGGCAAGCTTGCCCAGAAAATTATTAAGCGTTTTCAGAGCGGACGAAATATTAGGTGTTTCACAGCACCTTTATGAACCCCGAAGAAAAATAAGCTACAGTAAAAGAACACGGCTGAAAACCATTTAAAGTTTCAGCTCCGCGACCAGAGCACTTGTCTGTGCGGCTTGTAGTGGGTAGCTTTGGCAAGGCAGAATTAAAACAACATGATCTTCATCTGAGCCGACGCACAGCAGCCCTATGGATTTGTTTTTAGTCCCACTGTGAGATCCCACTGTGCCCTTCAGTGATTTACCGAGTGTATTGACAAACACCAGCAACCGTGTAGCACGAGGAAATGGTTTAATTCCCTAATTTCGCTAAGACAAATAAACAGTGCTTCCACTAGGCGGTTAAGCAATTATTTTTAAAATTATCCCTCCACTGGAACTAAGAAGCGCCACTAGTTGATGAGATTTCAGAGCCCAAGTTGTGTCTCCCGCTCCATCTCGGCAATTAACGCTTCCCGTCAGGGCTGCCTCCGTCTCCCTCCACTTTCCCGTGGCAAAGTTAGGTGTGAAATTGTCAAACGCCTTGAATTCCCCCTACCACCTCCCTCTCCTGTAGAAACGGAGATGCCTGGCCTGCTGCTGTTGCAGGGAAGCGTGCATGCCAGCCTCTGGAATTAGGAAGTCTTTAAAAAAAATTTAAAAAAAACCAAAACAAACAAACAACAAAAAACCCCACAAAAAAAAACCAACGAACAAAAAAACCCCAAACAAAACCACAAATAAAAACGCACGAAAAGAACTGACCCAAGATTTAAAAAAAAAAAAAATTATTAAAGAATGAAAAAAAAACAAATAAAACCATCAAACCCCAAATTCCTAAACACACACACACCACACACACAAAGGAAAAACACCCCAAAAAAACACCGAAAAAATCCGAAAACTTTTAGGTGAAGGTTCAAGACAAGCTGCCTGAAGGGAAACTCCTCGGCCGTGCCCGGAGCGCAGATCCCGGTGCTGAACCCGCGCTGGAGCGATGCGATTTTTGCAAGGGAGATGTGCGAACCTGGTCTGTGGACGGAGCTCTCCGGACCCCCTCAGCAGCCTTACCCCAACCTTCCCACCTCCGCTACTCTTCGTCCCCCTCCTCCTCCTCGCACGG